TACATTTACTAGGAGGTAGCAAAACTAGGTACTAGCAGCACTTCGAGGAAGACATGCAGATTTTCATTGATTTGGGACTTCTAAAAGCCAGGGCCCAATTAGAAGCTTTCTCTAAGGATAAGTGAATGGGACAACAGATGCAAAACAACCTGAGGCTTCTGGCTAAGCGTGCAGACATCTCAGATCATTTGTTCTTTTTTTTCCCCCCAAATCCTCATTCGTTCCCTTGTCTCAAGAGAATTTGTATTTCTGAAGGAGTTCTTTAAAGTTACTGCCTTTAATCACAGAGTTGGAGAGAGATTTGGTGGAGCTTTTGACAGATATCCCTGTAAGGAAATTAAAATAACAGAGATTTGTTCCTTAATGCTGTAAATGACAGCAAATTCAACAGCTGTTTATCATCCTCCTCTGTCATTGATACTGCACTGATTAGGCACTGCACCAAAGTGTGGTAAAGCTTAAGTTTCCATCTGAACTCCTTTATGTTGTGTAAGGAAGGGTGTCAGCATTGTAGGGCTGGTGTTTTGTGCCTGACGTAACTGGTACTGAAGTTTTTAATATTCTGTTTCCAGCTTAAGGATGCCTTTTTGTTATCAGAATCCTTGCATTTCCTCTCTTCTCCAGTCCCCTCAGGTTCCTCTCTTCCTCAGAGATCATATACTGAGAACAAGAAGTAAAATGGAATTTGGGGTATTCAACAGGCAGTGGAAACAGTAGCACACTTTTTATATTCATCGAAAAGGGATCTGTTGCAAAGCCAAGTCACTGACCTTTTCTCCCCATCCATCATGGGACTTTCCAGGGAGAGCTGGGTTCTGCTCCACGGTGAGCTTGCCTGATGTGAGGAAGTTCACAGACATATCCTGTGAGCACATGCAGGGCTCAGCTGAGACCTAAGAGTGCCAGTATTAGGTCCTTTGTGATTAATCCACCCTTCACCAGTGTGTCTAGGTGTCACACCACAGACTGTGCGGGCTTTTTTAGGATTCTCTCCTTTCTGCTGAAGCTTGCAGGGTATCCCACAGTTGTGAGGTTCACAGAGATCTAAACAAGATGCTTCTTGCTCCAACTGTAACCATGGTCTACATGGAGAAGTTAGGTTCAATCTAGGACTGTGTTCATTGTGGAGGTCAGAGGGGAAGACTGTGCTTAAACCAAGCTCTTTACCTCTTCCATAAAACCTTCCAGGGCAAGCGTAACCAAAGTCCCCTGCTGCTACAACTGTGAGAGTCAACTCAGAGATGCCAAGGCAAGTCAAGGGGAGGGAGACTGGGGAAGAGAGGAGTAAGTGCCCTGCTGTCTTAGGCACTGTTGCTCACATAGGATCCATTAGGTTTCCAAACAGCTACTCAGAAGCATTTTGTTTGAGATGGCAGCGTGGCTTTCTGAGCCTTATGTGGCTCAGAAGAGTCAGATGTTCTGCAATGAGACTTAATGCATATATTACACTGTTTGTCAGTTTGTGGTATCCTTTCAGGCTTTGTGGTTACGGGTTCCTCTAGCGAGGCCTATTTTATTTAGCATTCAGCATATTAATTGCACATAAACCTTCATATCTGCAGCTTCTACAGCAGGCATATCTCTGAAGAAACCTAAGATGTCATAATATTTGAAAGAGAAAAATGTGCATTTTTTGCTAGCACCTGTAATTTAGGTAGCAAAATAATCGGGTATGAAGCATGTCTTATCTCTTGTTGAATCTGATATGAAAGACAGTCACAGCTTTTCAAACCTGGCTAAAACTATGAATTATCCTACAATATTTGGATGGATCTAATTTAGGCAGCTGTCAGACAGAAATGTTTTAGATTCTTTATATTAGTAACACTTGCAGAGGGGCTGTGGCTGTTTCCAAAGACCTTTTTTGTTGCATGAAATGAGAACTCCCTTAGCACAGTAACTACTGTGGAGATGTTTGAACAAATAAATTGCTTGCATGAAATAATTATTCCTAATAGAGAGGAGATGACATTTGGATGGACTTAGTCATTCGTACAGCATCCTTTTGAGAGGTATATCAGAAACTCTAGGAAGTCTGTTACTTTAGATGTTGGTATGCTGCTCAGGTTACTGCAAGAATTATTCCTTTCCATTTCAGGAGCATTGAGGGTATGGCTGTGCAAGTTTTATTTTATCGTATTTTCCTTGTGAAGGACGCATTCAAAAAACCAGGAGGAGCCTTTAATAATTGTATTCTATCACTGTTAACCAGCAAAGGCTGTAAGACCCTCTATAAGACAAAGACTGAAGTATCAGATGATGATAATTCTGACTAGCATTTATACTGTCTTTTGATATGATACAAATCCATCCTACTTATAAAGACTCTACTAGCCTGATTCTCAGCCTGGGGCTTTAACATTCTGCTTGGTGTTCATTTTATTTGGTTTGATGCTCACCCATTGTATTTTGGATGGGTTTGTTACTACGCTTTGGCCTGAGCTGAACTGCTCCACCTGATGGTGAAAAGAAGAAAATGCTGTCTCTCATGCAATGAAGATGTATTTGAAAAAATGTAATCTAGTGGAAGCACTTAATGCTGTAAGGGTATGCATGCCTTAATCCAGGAGACCTACTAATAATGTTCTGCCCACTTTATACTTGGATGTAGAGCAGTTAAGGTTATGTAAAGGTGTTGCACAAATATCTTGACCCCACAGTTTTCTTTCATGTTTCTAGTGAGATACTCAGTGGGTGGGTGGGTACTTGTGCAGTAGACATGTGCTTCTCGAAGTCCAGATGCTGCCAGAACCTGAGATGCAGCTGTGATTTGCAAGACATGCATATCTGAAAGGAGTTGTTCCTGCTCATGCACAAAAAGGGAAGTGTGGCTGCTTGGTAGCTTGATTTGGTCATGTTGTTATTACCCAATGTGGAAATACTTAATGGTTGAGTATGTTGGGTAGAAGAGCTTGCCCATACGGTATTTTCTATCTCAAGTCCATTTAGTTGCACGGAAAAGGAGGGAAAAACTAAAGACCTCGAAAAGAAACAACCTGCTTACAGGACAAGATTTAAAAGGCGTTCTTGTGGCATTGAAAGAGAAATAATCACATAAATCTTGTGCAAGCAGCAGAGAAACAGGAAGCATAACAGAGCTGCATGTCCCCAAGTCTTTTAGTTTGTCCAGCTTTTGCAATCCAAGAGCCTGTAGATTCATGCTACCATAAATTTGCTCTGGCACCTTTCATGTTGCTCTGGGATATCAGAGTATTTTCCATGTGATAGCAAGATCTATCATCTCTGAATGGTCATGTCTTCAGCCAGGAAAGCAAAAGGTATGATTTGCTATCTTGAGCTGATGTGGCTGGGATGAAGGATGGATCCTGTATGGAAGGATGCTTATATGTAACAGCACATGCAAGGGACATTCTTTAAAGTATTTGAGCAGCCTAGTGCAAAATTTCCCATGCTATTGAGAAGGTAATGTGAGATCTGACCACAAGCTGATTATGTTCAGCCTGCACTTGTGCAAAAGCTATTCATATAAGGTCATGGTGCACCAACCAAAAAGCTCTGTGAACAGGCAGATTGCTCTAATTCATGCTGTGAAACTTTGAGGAATGTTCTTGTTGTATTCAGTTGTCATAGCCTCTAGCAAAAATTACAAATTTTAAGCTGTTCCTGTAGTTTTGTTCTTCACTTGTATTAACCATATACACTTACATTGCCCAAAATGGTGTGTACAGACCTTTTTTTTTTTCTTTCTTTCTCTCTTAGACACCCTGGCTCTGGAATACCAGACAGTGCTGGAATGGGTATCCTTATCAGGTAAAAGTTACAGTGCTGCCTAAAAACAAACATGACATCTCTGCAGAGCTCTGTATTTATTATGGTGGAGTGTGAATGGGCTACTCAGCATTTCAGAACATTGCTAGATGCTCCCCATCTTGCTTCAGTTCAAGACGGGAAAGATGAATATAGCTGTCACACCTGTTTTGAAATGAAGCACAGAATCTGAAAACAGATCTGGGAAATCTAACTGTGAAAGCAGATATTTGCAGCAGTGGTAGAATGGTCATTTGTTTACAAAGTTCTGAGGATACTGAAAGTTTTAGCAAAGCCGCAGGTTCAGTGGGTTGGGAAAAGCCCGTATAGTTCTTGTCATTGTTATACTGCATACAGGGTGAGACTTAATCCCTGTTCAAAGGGGCGACTAAAGAGAGAAGGTAGGTTTCTCCTTCAGGTACTTAAATAGAGACTATCCAATCCTGGCCTCATGGAAGCTTACAACAAAAGACGGTAAAATTAGTGAGAGATTTGAGAATGGTTTGAAGTCTTTATTTTCAGCAATGTCTGTATTTTCATGGATTCAAAAAGCATCAGCCTTTCTCTCTCTTTTAGGTCAAAGTATATAGCTTAACTTCAAAGAAAAGACTTAAGACATTTTTGTCCTTTGCTAAGGAGAAGAATGCCACCATTAAATTAAAAATGCTATTTCAGGTTGTGTCATGCTGCATTCATTCCTCTTTCAGTTCTCCAAAAAAATTTTGCTCAAATTTGAAAATTGTTTTCCTTAAAACAATCTTCAAAAGAACAATAACAACATATTTATTCCTTACTGCACTGCTAAGGTTTTAACTAGTTTCAGGAATATTTAATTGCTAGGTCCAAGTTCTGGCCATCTTTCACAGCAGCACATTTGCTTCAAAGGTGTGCAGGTGCTGCAGAACACCAGGATTAACTGTAACCCTAGAACTCTGGAAACTATTCCTTGCCAGGGGAAGGAGCAGGACAAGTGAAAGGACAAAGGTAGAAATTTTATCTATCGTTCATCATTATCTGGTTGAACAGTGACTTCCAAAGTTTGCATACACGAAGAGCTTTGAGGAACCTCTCCTGCACTTTCCATTAGTTTGTGCTACTGGACATAATTGTTTAAGTATGGGATGTATTTAAACAGAGCAGTGAACCTACTCTAAAGGATTCAATGTATTTTTCAGAAGAGATCACTCCTGGACTCTGCCTTGGCTGTACAACTGCCTCATTTTGCCTCCTTGTCTGATAGCAGTAACTTTCAAATGGATGTTGTGAGGATCAGCAAATGAATTAAATGCTCCCTTTTATTATTATGAATAATAGCAGTAACGCAGCCCTTTCAAGGAAAAAGTATCATCATGTACATGGGTTAGGAATGGACTTTGGAAACCTTTTTGGGAACGCTAAGAGCCACCTGTTTCCTTTTGTATAGCAGGAGGCAACAAGAGATTAAAGTTGTGAAGTATAATTTTTCCTTTTGTTACAGGTCAGAGGTAACAAATGTTTCAAATGTGACCTAGTAAGACAGTCTTCAAAATTTTTAATAACTTTTGAGGATAAGTTTCGGTAGCATTTTTAATTAATCTGAATTCTAATTCTAGACCTGAGCAAGTCTCAATAGGGACCATTGAGACATTGTGCTAGCTGCTATCCAAGTATAAATGACACTGAATTCCAAAAGTTGCAGCAAAGAATTTGCAATTTAAGGAGTCTATCCTGTCTAGGGCATATTGCTTTTTTTTTTTCTTAAGGGCAGAGAGGGAAAAAAACCAAACCCCCTCGTTGCCAGACTGAGTAACAAGAAGACTATTGTCTGAAAGACATATGAATTCCCTGTGACAGTGAACAGCATTGGACAGGCTGAACAGAACTGTGTTTAGGTTTGGGTGCTACTGTTCTTGAAGGTTGTGTAGCTGCTGGAAATAATTCAGTGGAGACAGTTCAGCAAGAATGACCAGAAATCTTGGTCTGAGAAAGGTTGAAGGAATTTCATCATTTAGCCTCAGAAGAAATAATGACTTAAATTCCACCCAAGGACTGGAGGGTGAACTGAATAACGTTAAGGAAGCAGCATAAGAAATTGAATGGGGGAAGTGTTCAGTCTCATCCCACAGATATTTTAGGAACAATTGTTTGTCAGAATTGATATCGCTGCAGTCACTGGTGCCTTTAAGTCCTGTTGTCTATTTTTTCTAATTTTGTGTTATTGCATGCAAGAAGATATTTACTTATGACATAAGACCATGAATCTTACTGGTTAAAGAACATATATTTACCAGACTTATCAGAAGAATGACATCATTCAGAAAGTTAGTTGCAGCTTTCAGAGGGTGGCAACTAAACTACTACATCAAAAATCATGGTGCTAGTGGAGAGTGACCAACAGAAAGCATATCATCAATTTCAGAGGGTGGCAACTAAACTACTACGTGATAAAAGTGATTATCAAAGTCATTGTCTCGGAGATAAAAATGTCTACTGGGTGCTAATCAGGATTATGTACTGGGTTTTCAATTTGGTTTTGGGTTTTTTTTCTTAACTAGATAAAATTTCTAACTCAACACAGCATGGCAGAAATCCAGCTGGACTTACTGTAGATACAGTCAAATGGATCGTTTGGGTGACAACTCTAGCCGTAAGCACAGAATAGTCCTATTGAAGTTAAGTCTATGGAGAACTGAAACTTAACATTTAACCTAAGTTAAACACACACTATTGATCCTTTCATGGAGGGAAACCATGATATCTTTAGAATCCCTCTTTGTTATCATTATATATGGGTTTAGAAATACTAATGCTATTGTTAATAAAGCAGCTGACAATCTTAATTGTTTTACTAGAAATTTTCCCCAGTGAGTTCTCTTGCGATGAGTGTAATTGTCGTGGTTCATTGCTAGCTCATGTTCTCTTCCCTTTTCTTAATTACAGCTAATTAAAAGCTTACCGGTAGTCTTGCTAAATCAGAAAAGGATTATATTGGCCCCAGAAATGGCTTTAAAAGAATGATTTGAGTGTACACATTTTTCATAAAGCATCAGCATATGTCTATATTTAAATAACCGACATAGAGCATTCAGTATGTACCTAGGGACTGTTTTTCAACTGCAAAGAACTGGTCTTGGTCTACAAAAGGCAGTGGGAATAAAAGAGGCAACTGAAATGCCTCTTGCCAATGGAAATAGCTCATGCCCTACTTGGGTGCATGGTTGTGCCAGTGCAAACTGCTCTAGAAATGGTTCATCTAATCCCTCAGGTGATGCCCTCAGGAGCTTCTCCTGTGCCAGTGCCCCTCGCTGTCACTGGATGGAAGACATGACTAGCAGGGAGACACAATCCCATGGAAGTTAGAGTAGCTCCTAGGCCTGGCTGTCTTAGTCTGGGGACTAAACAGCGTATGTGTGCCACCAGTTATCTTCTTTGAAGTTAGCTCAAGTTGGTTTTGGTAGTGCATAAGTTCCTGTGTCTTGTTATTTTTATATCTTTTTCTTTTAAACATCTGTGTTAACCATGTTGTATATCAAACAAGATACCTTGATAAATTTATTTTATTTTCTTCTTTCCAAACGTTAGCATTCCCAGAAAATGGTTAAATTCTTTAAAAGTAGGGTTTTATATTAGAAAGAGCCCTGTTTAAAGCCCTCAACTTTCTCATTATGGGCAGATGAGAATGTATACGAGCGTTACTTTAGTCTGCTCTAGCATTGTTTCTTTGCTGTGCTTTAAACCCATGTTTCTGATATACAGCAAGATGTTTGAAGTAATCTTTCAAAACAGAGTTATAAGTATTCAGAATTTAGTTTGTTCTAGGTTCTGAATGGACATCATCATCTTTTGGTATTATGATATTACAATACTGTCAAGATTAAAACATAAGAGGAGGGTAGATTGGGGAGATTTATTTTTCCAGAGCCATCAAAGTTTGAAAGAGGCAACCATCATCATTTTTCTTACATAGGATGCTTATGTATAATTTAATAATCCCCCTGTGATTAAGCATGTCTCCTATAGACCTTAGCTGCCTGTAATGTCAGTTAGACTCGATTAACCTTTTCTCATCTCCATCTTTCAGCCACTGATGCCTGACCTTCATTATTACTACATAGTTGAATTGTCATTCTACTGGTCCTTAATGTTTTCTCAATTCATTGACATCAAAAGAAAGGTAAGAACAATGAGACTAGAAACACTGAAAGCTTTAAACACATATCTTTCTTGACTTGAGGGATACCTGTATTATCTGTGCAGTGAACTGGAAATACAGTTCTTTCTAGTCACCACCTCTTGCAGATATTCCTCACTGAGAAACTGGTGTTGAAGTGCTTGTCTTACTCTGTTCCTTGTTACTATGATGTGGGGCTTTTCTGCACATGCGAAGAAGAACCTGGAGTGTAACAAATATTCAAGGGGAAATAGCGTCATCCAAGAAACCTTCTGCTCTCATACAGTGACTTGTATGGAATTGAATGCATAGTAGCTAGTAGATATACTGTTTCTTCTAAGAGTTGAATGATGAAATATCAATAACAAATCAAGACTGCCTCATAAATTCACAGTATCACTTCAGTAAGATCTCCGAGGGCTTTCAATTTATTCTACAAAGGGATGGTAAAAACAGGGATACATTTAATAGTAAAAAGTGATGTTACATTTAATCTTACCCTTATGGTTATGAAATTTCAAGTAGCTGAGCATTGCTATTAATCAAAAAAACAAAACTCTGGCCAGACAAAACATTTTTCCAGTATCAGTAGCAATCTGCTCCATATTCCTTCATCCAAGTTCTCTCCTCCAAGGTGAGTGCTAGTCTATAGCAGAACAGGCAGGATGACATTCATTCTATAATAACAGTCCATTGAGCTATTCTTGCAGGGGGGTTTAATGTTAAAAATTATTTGAAATGTTTGAAAGGATTTTATAATATTTTTATGTGCCTCCTTCTACTGTCATTTAACTAAATGATTATAGGCTATGCTAATAGAAAAAATCCCTGTTTACTAGAATTTTAGCAGGAGCATAACTCTGAAAAGAGTAAATGAAGGATCCAGTATGTCCTGAATAAATTTATCTGCTATTTGGAACCACAGTGTGCTCCTGGGAGCTTTGTGTCAGAGCCATGTATATAGAAAAACACCCCTCTCTTTGAATTTCCAAATTTTTCCAGAAGTAGAAATCTTAAGAAAACATGCACAAACTTTAAATCCATATTGGAGGGTAATTTGTAAGCAAAACAACCAATTTAGTATGAATACATGTAAATCTCTTGCTTGCATTTTCTGTAGATGCTAAACATTCTGTTAATGATGAGTTTGAAATGAGTACAACTTCACTGTTTCAGAAAACAAAGATGCAGAAAAACACTGCTCAACGGAGCTGTAGGATAGAGGAGATGAATTTAAAGCAAGAGTAAGAATGACTAATATAGGTAAGCTGCAGGTGCCAGCAATACTGAGTAGCCATTTGTCAATATATCAACCAAAACTAAACCTCTGCAGCAGTGTTACAGAACTGTTCAGGTTATTGCTGCAGAAATGTATTGTGTCTAATTAGTCCCCCTACATTCATATTCAGCCCTCTGTACTGTGCCATTGGTTATATTTTGTTTTCTTAGTGAGGGAGAGGAAAATATAATAGCATTGCAATTGCAACAGTACTGCAATTTTGCAGTACAATGCATCTTTAAAGAATATTTAATTGATTCCTCGCTAGTTGCTTTGCTTATGTGGAAAGCAATTGGAGGCTACCTGAACAGCATCTAAGTTCAGCACTGAGAGGGTCAGTAACCACTTTCTCACTTAATACATCTTATAAGCAAACGCTGTATTTTTTTCCCACATGAATTGGAGAGTTTGTTCCCAATGGTGAGCTGAACACAGAGCTAGAGCCTGATCTTGTCCATAGAACAGGTGCAGGTAAACAATCTTATGCAAGTCTGTTTCTCAGTTATATATAAATGACTTGATCTTGTCAGGAAGACTTTGTAGCAGCCTACTGTGGGAATAGAATGGGAGATGGAGGTGGGAAAGTGGATCGCTAACAGCTGAGTAACACCCCTGCCGCAGATTTGCGGTGCTTGAACCCAGAGCACCAGATCAAAGCAGTGTCCTGTGCATCTGCTCTGTCTGAGAACATTCAGTAACCAGCAGAGAGCAGAAGCACGGTATCTGCAGTGCAATGATAGCAAGTCAAAAGCCTTTCATTATAAGCACCCTGCAGGAGACAGTGGAGATGCCATACTTATAAATAACCTATTAGATCACTGACCAGTTTGGATTGTTCTTTTTGTAGTGTAAGCAAAACTGATAACTAGGAAGATCAGACTGGAGAAATGTGGCCATGCGCTGGTGTCACGCAGTAAAACTGTTCTGTGGCCAGGGGCATGTGAAAGCTGTCAAGGAAACCCATGAGGTGAAAAACATTAGCACTGGGAGCTTATAGTAGTTGACAAAAAGTAGTACAAGCTTGACAGAGACACCAACAGCATACTAGTTTTCTTTTGAAAAGAGTTTAGTTTAAAAAATGTGGAAACCTCTTAATGTACCCAATATGCAACATGTGAAACAGTGCCCATATGAAAGAAGGCTTTAACTGGAAGAAGCGCGAAATTTGCCAGCTAATACCAAATGCTATTGTAATACTTCATGAGAGCTTATACAACAGATTACCAGTTCTCAGCCTGAGAAACCTGTTGATGTTTTCATGTTACAGTGAGAGGAATACTTTTATTTAAGTCTTGGTTATCATTTTAGATACTTTAAATTCAGCAGTGGCTGTGTTGTAGTCTGGGATGATCAAAAGTGCCCTGGTAGCCTCGTGCACTGCAGGAATTCGGCCAACCGCTTTTATGTAGCAGGGTTTCTCTCAAGGTGAGGTGTGTAGGTCTTCTCTGAAAGCACCAGCACTCGGCACTGGCCTAATTCCAGCACTGGTCTTTTATTTGCTGTAGCTCCAGAGAAATGTACTTGCTCTTTTCCATCTCTATTTTATACTTCTCTAATAGCAAATTCATTACTTTAAAATTACTTCCAATTGGTTTGCTGACTTTCAAATACCTGTTTATCTTTATTTAGGTGTTACAAATTTCCCCAGTGTCTGGCTGAAGAGGTGTGAGCAAACTATTTAGGCTGTTGAGCATACCTACTATTGGTATTAAGGCAGCGAACTGAGTAGATTAACTTCTACCGTTTTATAATGGCATGTTGTTTGCTTCATAAATATGTACCATATTGCTGTAATGATGTTCTACCCTTAAGGGTTTTCATTTTCAAAGACTGCAACTTAGTATGATTTGTTTTTTTATCATCTCCTTCCAGTTTCCCATACTCCTCTTTTGTAAAACACAGAGGAAAAAAAAATAGATTGGGGAACTTTGTGACTCTCACAAGCCCCTGATGAGTTTTAAAAGCAGTGAGGCTTATTTACATGCTTTCTGGATACCTAAGGTACTGTTTGATAGAAAAAAAACATTTCACCGGTGTATTTAAAGGAACGTATAAAGTTTCTACTCAGTCAGTGTTTGTAGAAGATCTAGGAGACCTTTCTGTGTATTCACACCTTTTAGTCAAGCATTTGGCAACTCCTAGACCTTCTGTGTTCTACTTTTTTAAAAAATGGCAGTTCACTCCTTCCCAAAATAAAATAATGTGTAGCTGCTAGTTTTCTTGAATATTCCATTTTGATTCTAGAAAATTTATGCTATATTTCACCAAATCTGGATCCTAGATCTCTGTCTCCAAACTTAGTAAAAAAAGAGTCATAGAGCTGATTTCTTTTGTTTCAGAGGGAAGGAATTTAAATTGTATGCATTTTGCAGACCTTTACTAGAGTTGTAGAAGTTGATACCTTTAGCTGGTGACCTTCACCCTTCTTTGGTGAAGCCCATTTCCAGAAGCTGGAGTGACTAAAAAAGGTGGTGTTTTGCTCTTCAGTGGCACTAATGCTCCATAGCCACTTGGCAGTTTAGTCACTGAGTGTGTCCAGAGGGCTTGTCTACAAGTTGAGACCCATGGGCTTTCTTCATTGTCTGCCCTGTGTTCTTCCCACTGATGGTGTCAGGAGTAGGTTTTCTCCTACTGTTAGCCATATGCTTTCATGACACAGGCACATGATATCTTTCAGCAGTTAACGACTGAAGGCTGCATGTCTGCTGTAAATAAATGCATCGTGCACAAACATACATACATTTTGAAATATATTTTAAAAAAGAAAAAACCCATTCCTGTATAGCTATTCTTCTGCTGTGTATGGATGAAAGTGCTTGAGTAAGCTGGAAACACAAGTACAACTTGACATTATGGGAACTTTTACCATTAGTTTCTATGTATTCATTACCCTTATGTATAATTAAAATCTAACAGGTAGCATCTTCACAGCATAGTATTAATTACTGACGTAAAGAAATGTCATAAGCAGGAAAGAGAGAACCAGAATAACAAATGTAGTCTTATTTATATCTCTGCTACATTTTTCTAAATTTTCAGTAGGTCAGTCCAGCATCTCTGTTGCAGAGCTGGCAGAGTCTCTTTTAAGAAACATTATCAGAGAAGGAGTTCCCTGAACAGCATTTCTGTAAGTAGACTCATGCAGAAGTGCAGAAGACTGCTGCCCAAGAGCATTAGGGATGCTTAGGAATAACCCATATTGTCAGGGATGCCTTGAAGAGTTCCCAAGAGGGACTAGAAATCTCGTATTTGTAGAACATGAATATGTCAGCTATAAAAACAGATGAGAATTTTCTACTTGGCTTCTTCCCCCCTTTGGACTGCCTGTGTGCTAACATTGCAGTTAGAAGGAAAATGAAGAACAGTGCCATAGTATTTGCAGCTGAAGCAGGTAAAGAGCTAGGCTGCAGTATGGCCATATGGCAGTGCTAGTAGTTTACCTCTAATCCCAGGGAATAAGGTAGGTGCTTTGCTGTTTTGATTATGGTATGGTGAAATAGTCCTCACGTGTGGTTTTGTAGTTACTGAAATGACTAAGATGCCATACCCCTGCTTTCCCTTAAGACTCTTAGAAAGGGAAACAGACTTTAACTCTCTTTTTGTTCAGTCTGCTTTAAGAAAATAGATTTAAAGCAATGGTTTGACATGACTGCTAAATGTATTTGATTGTGCTCCACACTGCTGGGCACCAAATAACCTGGCTGAGAAATGATGGGTGTATACCAAACCAGGATATGGTTCTCTGCTTTTAGTATTATTTTCTCTTTTCTCCGTGCCTCCCCCCCCAGCTTTGTGTTGGAGATACTGGCAACGCCCATTGAAAATAGGAAACAGGACCTTATAGCACCGGATAGCATTAAACATAAAGTGATAGGCTGGGAGGAGGTCCTGCCCCTATTCGGTTAGTGAGACTGCTCAAGCTGCAGGTTTTTCCAAGGACTCCAGGTGTAAATTGCAGTGAAGCCAAGTGCTGGTACTGAGAGGCAGTGGCACTGCATGTCTTTGAAAGCAGTGGTGCCTGCTATGCGCCTGCTGCATTCCCAAAGAGAGGTACGGTGACGCTGGGCAGTTACTCTTCCCAGTATTGCAGAGACGGAGCAGTCAGCAGCTGTAGCTGCTGCTTTTCTGGAGTTGACCCTGTGTTAGTGGGAGCTCACCAGCACTTTCCACAGGGCCCTCCTGCCTGACACGTGTACCTTCAGTCCCTTTGCAAACCAGGTGCTGCCTCTCTAAAGACTGCAGGGTCTCAGTTTTGGTTTCTCTGCTGTGGGCTGCTTAGCTGAAGACTACCATAGCTAGGCAGGACTGGCTCACAGAAGCTGCCAGAAGACCAAATGCCACCTCACAAGATGCTTGGTGAGCAGGCTGCCTGGAGGACCCACTGCTTCTGACTGCCTGGATCTCTCTTCAGACAGCCCTGCTTGAGAGCTGCTAGATCTGCTGAGAGCTGTGGTAGTAACTTTGCACCCGGTGCATGGAGAAACTCCCTGGTCAAATCATGAATGTGATCTTCAGGGTTTTGATACCACTTTCTCAAAGCTGTGGGGGTAGTTCAGCAAACTTCAGCAAGGCTTGGTGCCTTGTAGAGAAGTCTCATCTCTGCAGGTCCTGTTCTCACAGTAATCAGCCTGGGAGCCTAGGGCAGGCAGGCAGGTCATTCTCTCTGCTTTGCCTGGCCCTCGACATGTACCTGGGAATGTGATATTACAGGAGCTTCACCGATCCCAGTATTTTTCAGTGGTAACAGTTACTTGCTGACCAAGTAACTCAGAGTTACTGATCTGGAGACCAGCTAACCTGCATCATTTGGCAGGCAGCAGATTAGATCTGAGTAGGAGGAGCTGCACCATCTCATTTGAAGACGTTTCTGACCCTGTTACAGTGTGAAGACAAAGCAGCTTCATTAAAAACAAACAAATGAAAAACTGGAACTGGGATTCTCAGCTCTGTGAAAGCTCTCAGTTGTGCTTGGCAAGTGACTTGATAACTCCTAGTGTGGTGGAAATGTGTTTCCCGTTCCTTTGTAGCTATTTGAACTCTTGTGAATGGTGCGTTATTTTGCATATTATGTGTCGCTTGGTGTATAAGAAATATGCTGTAATTTGATTTGTATGTACATATGCCTTTTCAAAGTGACTTCAGCCACAAATATTTACTTCGTTAGGTTAAATTACTGTGAACTGAGAAATGTAGATATTGCCTCGCTCACAATAATCCTTTTGCATTTTGTTAACATACAACAATTATTTTATTCAGTCTAAGTGAAATATATAGCAGAGTATTTAATGCACTTATGTAGCAGGATCTTTATGTAACATAACCATAATGCTGGGTTTAAAAAACATCCATCCATTTTTGTATAAGACTACTGAATCTCACTGTTTGGTTCATTGTTTTTTGTTTGTTTTTTTTTTTCCCTGCTTCTTGCTGCTCTAGGATTTTGGCATCATGTTTACACATCACATTGTAACAGTCACCCTGATAACCTTCTCATATGTAACCAATTTGACACGAGTGGGAACCTTGACCTTATGTCTCCATGATGCGGCTGATGTTGTCCTAGAGGTGAGATAATACGTATATCATCAGTGTCTGTACATGGTATTCACTATTCTGAGAGCTAGCATATCAGTAGGTAGAATCTATTTGCTATTCAAAACAAGTATTTCTTAAGCAAAGAGGCCAGTTCAAGGTGGTAATAGTGATTAATATAGTGTGTTTCCTTGCTGAAATATATTACACTTGTAGCAGTGCATGTTTGTGACTTAGGCTATTTTATCCCTTGATAAGTTGCTTGTTCAGAGCAGAAACTGGTAAGCATTGCATGCCAGGGAGGGTTACACACAAATTTTAAGTATAACATGGTAAAGTCAAAAGCTCAAACTTGCAAAATCTGGAAAGTGGTGACTGTGTGGGATAGAAGCTCCTGGTTCTTCACCCCTCTGAAGTGATGTGTGGGGCAAGAACCCTGTCTCTGAAAGAATCAAAGTGTCACAGTGTGATTCTGCTGTGCTTTGTTGGGCAGAGGCTACTGGGCAACTTAGTGGCTGTTCTGCGCGCAGGCAGTGAGCCAACCTCTGGTCCCCAGGATTTTCCAGGTTCCTGTGCCTCTGCATCCAGATGCCAGTATTAATCAGTTGGCTTTGGAGAAGAAGGGATGATTGAAATTCTTTTAAGTCAAGATGGTCTGTAACTTCCGTAGTGGAAATTTAGAGATGTTGTCATCCTGTATCTATATCCGTTTTTATACAGCTCTGGGTGATGCTGGGATTGGGCTGTCTGTGCACTCTCCATCAGGATCAAACCAAAGTTAATAACTACTTTGTCTGAAATTATTTTTTACTAAAGTAGTTGCAGGGATCCTGTTAAGCAAGAATACAGTCTCACTGTGTGTCACCTACTGTAGAATAAAAATCCTGCCATTCCGATTCGATAGTGCTGTAAATCTGGTTTTATTTTTTAATCTTTTTTTAATCTAGAAGGCACATGACTGCCTGAGATAGAAAGCAACAGAGAATCTGAATTTCTCCTGTTAAAAATAATTGCATCTTTACAATTTTATTTTTCTGTTTTAGAAATGTGTGTAGATCCATTCCGCTAGCTGTGGGTTCACCCAAACTTTCTTCATTCCTCTTTTCTTGCCACCAGACAGATGTATCTGACGATGTTCATTCCAGATCAGAGCAGTGCCTGTGGAACTATAAAACCACTGGAGAGCAGCTGTAGTAGGCTAGCTAAGGCCTTACCTTGAACACAATGCGACACATATTTTTTTCTCAATTCCTCTGTTCATTCACTGGCTAAGACAAAGGCAAAATGCTGGTATTCTCACATTTGCAGACATTCAGCAAATACACTTCCCCGTGAGACACATACTTTAGTGGTCTTTCTAGTTGATTCATTCAGTCTGTTCTGACTGAATATACTAAAGCCAGTCTAAAGTGTGAGAAAGAGAATCACAACTCCTCAGAAGCATTTACTAGGAGGGCAATTACGACTCAGTCAACAGACTTTTTGGGTCTGTTTACATGACATCAGGCCTGGTGGCAACAGACAGGGTATACCTGTCTCAAAGAGGGAAAAGGATCTTCGCACAGGAAAAAGAGGGAAAAGGATCTTTGCACAGGAATTAGCAGGGCTTGTTGAAAGAGCTTTAAACTAGATTTGGAGGGGGAAAGTGATAACACCAGGCTTGCTAGAGATAAGCCTGGGGTCAGCATGCCAATCTTTGAGGGGTGGTGTGCTAGCAAGGTCCTTTGGTCTGCCGCCTCAGTGGAGTTAAGGGATGGAGATCCAGGGAGCAGCAAATACTCAGGTGTTATTGATGTGTTAGAAACCACAGAAGTGCCCGAGAATGGTCATGCAGGAATTAGGGCTTCTCCCCACAGAAAGCTGATGGGATCAGTAGCCCAACTGAAGTGCATCTACACCAATGCGTGCGGCATGGGCAACAAACAGGAGGAGCTGGAAAGCCATTGTGCAGCAGGAAAACTATGATGTAGTTGCCACCAGAGAACCATGATGGGATGACTCGCATAACTAGAGTGCTGCAATGGATGGCTATAAAATCTTCAGAAGGGACAGGCAAGGAAACAGAGGCGGTGGGGTAGCCCTGTATGTTAGGGAGTGATTTGATTGTCTAGAGCTTAATGATGGTGATGATAGGGTGGAGTGTTTATGGGCAAGAATCGGGGGAAGGCCAACAAGGCAGATATCATGCTGGGAGTCTGTTATAGACCACCCAATCAGGATGAAGAGGCAGAGGAAATACTCTATAAGTAGCTGGGAGAAGTCTCATAATCGCTAGCCTTTGTTCTTTTGGGGGACTTCAACGTACCAGATCTCTTCTGGAAATAAAATACAGCAGGGAGGAAGCAGTCTCATGAGGTTCCTGGAGTGTGTGGAAGATAACTTCCTGACGCAGCCGGTGAGTGAGCCAACTAGGGAAGGTCCCGTGCTGGACCTGTTTTTTGTGAACAGAGAAGGACTTGTGGGTGATGTGGTGGTTGGAGGCTGTCTTGGGCATAGCAAACACAAAATTATAGAGTTTTTGATTCTTGGAGAGGCGAGGAGGGGGGGTCAGCAGAACTGCTACCTTGGACTTCCAGAGGGCAGACTTCAGCCTGTTGGGCAGCCTGGTTGACGAAGTCCCTTGGGTGGCAGTCTTGAAGGGCAAAGTAGTCCAGGAAGGCTGGACACTCTTCAAGAAGGAAATCCTGAAGGCACGGGAGCAGGCTGTCCCCATACACCAAAAGACGATCTGTCAGGGAGGAAGACCAACCTGGCTGAACAGACAGTTTTGGCTGGAATTCAGGAAAAAGGGAGAGTTTATGACCTTTGGAAGAAGCGGCAGGCAACTCAGGAGGATTACAAGGAGGTTGTGAGGCTACACAGGGAAAAAATTAGAAGGGCCAAAGCCCAACTAGAACTTAATCTGGCTACTGCTGTAAAAGACAATAAAAAATGTTTCTATAAATACATTAGCAACAAAAGGAGGGCTAAGGAGAATCTCTGTCCTCTATTGGATGCAGGGGGAAACATAGTGACCAAGTATGAGGAAAAGGCTGAAGTGCTTAATGCCACCTTTGCCTCAATCTTTAGAAGTAAGGCCAGTTGTTCTTTGGGTACCCAGCCCCCTGAGCTGGAAGACAAGGATGGGGAGCAGACTGAAGCCCCCATAATCCAAGGGGAAATAGTTAGCGACCTGCTACAACACTTAGACACACACAGGTCTATGGGGCCAGATGGGATCCACCCAAGGGTACTGAGGGAGCTGGCAGAAGTGCTCACCAAGCCACTTTCCATCATTTATCAGCAGTCCTGGCTAACCAGGGAGGTCTAAGTTGACTGCAGGTTTGCAGATGTGACACCCATCCACAAGAAGAGCTGGAAGGAGGGTCCAGAGAACTACAGGCCTGTCAGTCTGACCTTGGTGCCAGGGAAGATTATGGAGCAGATCATCTTGAGTGCCATCACGTGGCATGTACAGGACAACCATATGATCAGGCCCAGTCAGCATGGATTTATGACAGGCAGGTTCTGCTTGACTAACCTGATCTCTTTCTATGACAAAGTGCTTAGTAGATGAGGAAAAGGCTGTGGATGTAGTAAAGCCTTTGACACCGTTTCCCACAGCAGTCTCCTGGAGAAACTGGCTGGATGGGCATACTCTTCACTGGGTGAAAAACTGGGTGGATGGCCAGGCCCACAGAGTTGTGGTAAATGGACTTAAATCCAGTTGGTGGCTGGTGACAAGTGGTGTTCCCCAGGGCTCAGTACTGGGGCCAGTTCTGCTTAATATCTTTATCAGTGATCTGGATGAGAGGATCAAGTGCACCCTCAGTAAGTTTGCAGATGACACGAAGTTAGGCAGGAGTGTTGATCTGCTTGAGGGTAGGAAGACTCCACAGAGGGATCTGGACAGGCTGGATTGATGGGTTGAGGCCAATGGTATGAGGTTCAACAAGGCCAAGTGCCAGGTCCTGCAGTTGGGTCACAACAACCCCATGCGTCACTACAGGCTTGGGGAAGAGTGGCTGGAAAGCTGCTCAGCAGAAAAGGACCTGGGTGTGGTGGTTGACAGCTGGCTGAATATGAGCCAGCAGTGTGCCCAGGTGGCCAAGAAGGCCAACAGCATCCTGGCCTGTATCAGAAATAGTGTGGCCAGCAGGACTAGGGAAGTGACTGTCCCCTCTACTTTGCACTGGTGAGGCCACACCTTGAATATTGTGTTCAGTTTCGGTCCCCTCACTACAAAAAGGCATTGAGGTGCTGGAGTGTGTCCAGAGAAGGGCAACAAAACTGGTGAGAGATCTGGAACACAAGTCTTATGAGGAGTGGCTGAGGGAACTGGAGTTGTTTAGCCTGGAGAAAAGGAGACTGGGGGAGATGACCTTACAGCTCTCTACACCTGAAAGGAGGTTGTAGCGAGGTGGGTGTTGGTCTGTTCTCCCAAGTAGCAAGTGACAGGATGAGAGGAAACAGCCTCAAGTTATGCCAGGGGAGGTTTAGATTGGATATTAGGAAAAATTTCTTCACCAAAAGGCTTATATCAAGCACTGGAACAGGCTGCCCATGAAGTGGTTGAGTGACCATCCCTGGAGGTATTTAAAAGACGTGTAGATGTGGTGCTTAGGGACATTGTTTAATGGTGGACTTCACAGTGCTAGGACTCGATGATCTTAAAGATCTTTTCTAACGTAAGCAATTCTATGACTCTGACTTTCTTCTGCTAGGGCAGTGGATCACAGCTCCAGTGCCATATGAAAGAATATGGACTCCTACACACTGCTGACATTACTGAGGGGGAAGTCAGTGCAGGGGACAAAAATTATCAGACTGCAAATGAAGCTGGTAAAATATCTTGCCATGATGGGTCAGTCGTGCACCTGACCTGTTTTACATAGTATATATTTGTAAAAATATATACAAAATATATACTTTTTACATTTGTAAAAATGAAAAGCTGTTGTTTTACATAGTATATATTTGTAAAAATGAAAAGCTGTCTTTAGAGGCCACTAGAATCTTTCCACCTACCGTTTCACAATGAAACATGTCCAGTGGAAAGACGGAATGCATCATTTTTGCTAATCTCATTGCAGAATGTGGTATATATTGGTAGCAATACCGGAGGTGAAGTTTCTTCCATAGGTCCTGAGGCATCTGCAGGTACAGAAGAGTCATAGCAGTATTTTCAGGGATACATAGCTGTTCTCTTAGGTATGAGTGAAAGTTGTCTTGGATACTGAAAGCTGCCTAACTATGGTTGGACAGACCAAACGTAGACTCATTTGCTTGCCTAGGAAGTCACTACATTAGCTTAAGCTGAAATCTAGGCTACTGAGAGGCAACTTTCAGAATCCCAGCTAAGTTGTTTAAGGGGTCTTGGGTACCGTTGCACTGCAGTACAGCTTGTGGGTTGGAAACACTGTAACCTAACCTGCTAAAGCACTTAAAATCACACCTATTTTGGGACCTTGAAACTTTTCAGCTTCAATTAATGAACACTGTGACAATGTTGATGCCAGTGTATGGATGTGAGTAGTTGCCAATTTGGTATGCTTCTGGTGTATGAGTCTCACATAGCCATCAGTTGAACCTGAATCCTTTCTGTCAGGTTCCAGCTATCTCCTAACACACTTTTCTGAATGGACAGAATTGGGAATTCCTTGGGGATTGGACACTTCAGACCAAAGCAAATAACTATGCTGTAAAATAAATGGATTTACATATACTAGCAAGAGTATCTGGAAAAGCTGTGTTATTCAGTTGTAGTCATGGTTTTTAAGCTTTGAAAATTGTGTTGTATTGTCTTAGGTGGCCCAATTCCATCCAACAACATATTCTTTCCCTTTTCTTGTAGTCCTTCTTTATCAGTATCATTTGTAGATTTGTTATTTGAGAACTGATGACCCAACAGTTGTACTGTTTTTGAGAAATGGTGTGATACTACTACAAGTTGCTATAGCAATATCAACTCCACACACTATGAAACCAGCTTTTTTTAGACTGCCACCATGGAAATACATCCAAAATTGTATCTAAACTTCCAGTCATCTGAAAATCAAGCTGTTAGTAACTC